ATCCCAAAGCTTTGAACTAAAAGAAATACCTCAAGAAGTTTTCATAGAAAGTTCACTGCAGTTGGTTCAATTCAGCCAGACTTAGATGCACCTTTTCAAATAATAGGGGGGGGGGGGGAGTGTAAAAAAGAGGTCAGGCCCAATCAATAGACTTGTTCAAACAGAATTCCAGTCGCTGTGATGTATGTACATTTTGTGCTTTTCCTTTGTAAAGAAAGGTTACTTTAGCTAGTAGCAGTAAAAGTCTTCGTCTTTTGAACGCACCTTAGCAATAGCAAGATTGATCAGGCAAAATCACATCACAATATTTTTGTGTCTTTTCTGTGCTTCTGATAACTCTGTAACACACACACACACACACACATCATTTGCAAATACTTTAAAAGAAGACGGATAGAAATCAAGGAGAGTGAAGCCTCAAAAACATGCTTTCCTGATCTCTGAAGCTGTGCTTCTCTTGCAAGCGTGACAACATTAATTCACAGAGTTGGAGAAAACCTTTTCTATTAGCTGTTGTTTATTCTGAAACTATGTAAATGCAGTTCAGTTTTTAAAAAATCTTTGTTGGGGCAGAAAGCTGCACTAGCACAGGGGTAAGTAGTTTGCCATAATCAGTCTGATAATGATTAAAGTTGTAAATTAAAGAATTCTCAGTCCCAAAGTGAGCGTAAACAGTACAGGTCGTCTTGACTTATGACCATAATTGGGACTTGAAGCTGCTGTCACTAAACAACCTGGTTGTTAAGCGAGTTGCACCTGATTTTGCAATGTTTTTGCTGCGGTGGTTCAGCGAATCACACAAGCATGAAGCAAATCACATGGTTAAGTGAATCCAGCTTGCCCCGTTGGTTTTGTTTGTTGAAACACCCTGAGAAGGTTGCAATTGGTGATCACGTGACCCCAGGATGAGGCAACCATGATAACATGAGGATTGCCAAGCATCCAAATTTTGATCATGTAACTGTGGGGACATTGCAATGTTCATAAGTGTGAGAACTGGTCCTAAGTCACTTTTTTAAACATTGTGTCAGCACTTTTTTCATAATTTTGAAAGGTCCTAGGTAGCAGCAGATATTTCTCTTTCTGGACACAATGAGTAAATATCAGCTGCAAACTCTGCATTGGCGACAGGAAGGCAACACTCAACTCCATTCAGTTGCCCCGACTCCACCCCAATGCAAAGGATTATAAGGTCATTAAAAGACAAAAAATAATAATTAAGCAAAAAAACAAGGACTGCCTATATATATAAAATAACGGGATTGGAAGGGACCTTTGAGGTCTTCTAGCTCTCCCTTGCTCAGGCAGGAAACCCTATAAATAAAATAAAAATAAAGTAAAATATACTTCATTGTTGCTTATAAATGGGAATAAGCAGCAATACATTCACAGTGCTCCTTAATCTGTACCCAAGTTATATGCAGATAGGAAAACACTGCCTGCAAATTGGGAAACTCAGATTGGAAATGGAAGTGAACATTTACCAGAAAATTTTTGCTGGAAGAGCGCAATTTAAAATTAATGAGATAAATAAAACAAAATAGTGACAGTGCTGAGATATGTTTCTGAATCTTGTGGACCTTTTCCTAACCCAAGAGATAAACTGATGTTTGCAAAGCCCTTACAAATTAAGCAAAAGCTATTTCCAATCCATATTTCATGAAGAAGTTTTAATATATACTGTAACATCACCATTGTCATTAAGAAGCACAACGTCTGGTAAGGAATCAGTGGCCCACTGAATGGTTTGGCCAAGGAACTCAGCAACTTACTTGAGTTCTATGCTAGGGATACAAAAGACGTGCAGTCCTGTGGGATGAAGGCAGAGAAAAACTGTGATGTAGTTCAATCTGACAGTAAAAAACAAATCCAAATTCAATTGTAGCCAAAATTTGAAGAACAAATGTCAAAAGACCAAAGACACATCAAATATAATGTTAATAGTTTAATATGTACATATATATTGCCTCCAAATTGTTACATTTCATTTAAATTAATAATTTCTTGAAAAACATTTTAATAAAGAAAATAAAAATAAAAGAATATCATTTTGACAAAATGTTACATGCTTGACATTGGCAGTATTCAATTAAAATAGATTGCATTTTCTAAATACATTTATCAAGAATAGTTTCTAAATATAGCCAAAATAGAATACAAGTTCAAAAAAATAATTTTCAACTCATTTACTATTTGATAAAAGACACAGTCAGGTAGAAATTGTATCTCTTAATGACAGAAAGGAAAACAAAAAACTAGTGTTTTTCTTTATGTAATTCTTCTTTAGTTGCTAGAATAAATATGCCCAATTACATATTGTTGACCAACTTTAAGGAAACAATTAGCAATGCAGTGTTAGATTTCAACAAACACAATTAATATAAGGGAAAAGTTAACATAATCATTTTTATGAATTTTTTGAGAGTCAATTTTGCTGTAAGAAAAATTATGTTATCATTTTGGATAGGTGGAGAAATTTGTCTAAACACAGAAAACAATAATTGACTTTTACAAATGTAAAATGAGATGATGCTACTTCATTCCGATCTTGGTTTAAATTAAATTAGCCTGTTCTTCACATGGAGCTGTATGTGCTTCTCAAGGTATTGAGTATTAATGTTTTAGTGTTTATTCGTGGATGTTTGAATTTTCCACATCTGTTTTAATAATTCCATTCTAATCTGAAACAAATAAGTGGGCATCACTTCTACAAATAAATACATAAAAAGTATGGACTGTAATACGGAAAGGGTTTCATTCTTCTAGAAAGATTTCTTCATTGAACGGTAGCTGCAAGGCAACATCACAAAGAGATTTTTAAAGTACCTCAAACTCTCAAAATTAGTTTGCTATGTAGTGTGCGCCTGTTCAAAGAACAAACATCAAATAAAGGACAAGATGTAGTTCTCTGCAAATCTTAGTTTGGAAAGCCAGCATGGAGGCTTTTTTTTCACACATGAACTCCTCTTATATTACATTCTCTCTACATTGATATAAATCATCAAAATGTAAGTACATCATTAATAGCCATGCTTATAAGGATGTATAGAAAATCATGAATACAGACTCTTTGCTACCTGTGAAATTCTGTTCTCCATATACAATGTGTTTTTAACAGTAAATTTTAGGAATTTCCTTTAAGTTTGTGCATTGTGGGGTGTCAAACTCACATAGTCGTGTGATATATCGCAACTTTCCCTCCCTTCACTATACTGGGCATGTGCGTGGCCAGTGCGTGACACATCCGGACCACAGGCCGCAAGTTTGACAGCCCTGTACTAAACCATGCAGTAACCAGCTGAAAACTACAGGTTTTATCCTTTATGTAAAAGATTTTGCAACTTTAGTTGCATCTCTATAACAGCTATCAGTATGAATGTCTCAATAATTTACACTGGGATTTTCTAATAAAAATAGACTAAGGCTTATATGTAGGGATACTAATGTTATAAGCCAATTTTAAGGAAACAATTTCTATTACACATGGGCACCCTGTGGCTTCTAGAAAACTACACTAATCTTGTGGTGAACAGCCATATTTCTCTCTGCACCAATTCACTAATTTCAATCCACATCCCATATCACACAGACTGTGTTGAGCCACGAAAAAATAATCCTTTTATGACCTATTGTGCAATCTTCACCAGGATTGGTATGTAGGGGTGAAATTAATTTTCATTCCAAAACTGACCCTGTTAACAGCAAGGAAATATTCGAAGATTTGGCAGCTGTTTTTGCCATCTCCCTTATGCCAGAATGATTGCAATGGAGGAATTGAAGAGTTTAAAACATCTTCATATCCCTACAGTTGCCCTCGTAAAGCTGCTCTTTGCCTGCTGATATTACTGGCAGGGACACAGCACCTCAGATCACAGTTGGGGAGCAGGATCAAATCTCTTTTCCCCTGTAAGAGTGAGATATATATGGGAGAAGGTGCCCTGACATTTAATGCAGGTCTGAAGAGTCTTCCAGAGGCCAATCTGGTCTCCAAACTAAATGTGAGACCGCCTTGGCTTAAATCCATATTTACTTTACTCTGGATGATTAGGATTATAGAATTGGTATAAAAAGAGAGCACTGGCTGTAGTACACTGAACTCACTTCTGCAGTAGTATGAACAAGATACTGCACAGCTGTCAGCTCACATTTTTAATATAGCACACAAGCCTTCAAGTTAAAAGAAAAAACAATCAGCTTTTATTAGCTTTTTTGTCTAAGAAGAGAAATCTTATACTTAATATTTTAATTGTCTGGGCCAAGAGCTAAATCAACACAGCAAATTATAAATAGTTGACAATAAGTCATTTTTACTGCTTTTGAAAATACAGATATTAAGAAAATAAATATTTGAGTAAAATGATATATTAATAATTGTATCAGTTATTTTAAATATTTTGCTTTAAAGTGGGTGAGCTGAGCCCGTTGTGGAGGCAGGACCTTTTGGATGGAATACTTCCTAGTGGGATCAAAAATGAACAGCTTCCTGCTGAATATGCAGACAGATGTACCACAGCAAGTCTTTTTTATATAAAAAACAATTTAGATTTTGTGCATAACATATGCCTTCTCTGTGACAAATGTGGGGAATGTATGCATATGTATCTTAGTGCTGGAGGAGAAATTGCATGAGAATTGCATTTACATTGGGATTGGGACTGGACTGAGCCGAGTCCATTTCATTGCCTAAACTCAAAGATGATATTTAAAAAATGGATTTCTTTTTACAACAGGTGGACAGGGTTGCTAGATTGGTGATGTTGTGTAGGACAGAGGTTTATAATGATTCTCAATTATAAAAGGCTATATAATTTATTCAAATGGGTCCATCTTTTGCATATTTTTGTATTTGTATGAAATCTGGAATTATTAAAATGTTGATTACTTTCAAATAAAATTACACCTGATTATGGTCACAAAACCATTATCCACTTTAACATATCTATCTATCTATCTATCTATCTATCTATCTATCTATCTATCTATCTATCTA